CCGAGGGAAAGGGTTTGGTCTCTTTTTGGTGAATGGCCTTCCCCCTCGTCTGCAGGGAGGGAGGGGGACTAGTGAAAGAGTGACGTGCTTGGTGCACTCGATGGGAGGCAGCTCCAGCACCCCCCTCCCAGCATGTTACTGGGAAATGGTCTCCCCGGTCCGTCCTCCCAGCATGCTCAGAGCAGGGGCTTCCTCGTCTGCATCAACTTACAGTACTTAAGCTCAATACATCTAGGTGGACTTTTTTTTCTTAAATAGTTTTAGTGCAAGCCCTTTGGACCTCTTGACGCAGTGACCAAACAAATGCTGGTTGGCAGCAGGCAGTTGTAACCCAACTGGCGTGGTGCCTCGCAGCAGGTGAACCTCCTCAGGCCAGCAGTAGGACAGCCCAGCTAAAAAAATCATCCTTCTGGTCCTGAAAAATCATAGAGAGGGCATTTCTGAAGGGGAGCAGAGACCTTGGCAAGCATGGCTGCCAAAGCACTCCTAGGGGGATGTCATGTCTCACCTTTCCTTGGCTGCAAGTGAACCCAACCGACCCCAAGCCAACCTCTAGGCAACTGGAGTTGGAACGATGCTCTACTTGAAGTCCAAGTCAGTGCAGGAGAGAGAGGGGCAGCCCACAGCACCTAGAAAGGGACCTGCCCTTTTATGAAACCAAGAAACGAGAGAGGAGGAAGCAGGTGGTGACCCAAAGCCTCTGGTGAGAATTCACTCCAAACCTGGCTGAGCTTCATGGGGGCTAGGTCCATCCCCATCCTCTAGCCTCCAGATCTCAACTTCTGTCCGTAAACTTCCCCCTTCTACCGTCACTCCTACCCTCTTCCTCTCCTTGAAGAGCTTATAAAATGCATGATACTTTCCCCCTCCCAAACCAGCCAGGCTCCTGCTCTCCTGCCTGTAATGTGCCTCCAGATGCCAGGGATGGAGCCTAGTGGAGATGTTTGTGTTAAAAGCAGGACACGGAGCAAAAGCCAATTATTTCTGTCCTGCAGAGAGGAGGGCTGCTGAAGCAGGCTGGTGTCCTCCTGGGCATCCTTAAGGTGCAAGAACCCTGGGAAAGGTCACAGCCACAAGGAGGAAGGTACAGTCCTGCTTTACTCCTCACCTTTTCCTCTCCCTTCCCCGATCTAACCTTGTATCTCCTTGGCTATAGCCCTGCTGCCTATAGCTCCAGGACATCTGCCCAATCCCCACAAATTTGGGCTAACCAGGCTCAGGCTAGCCCACACCTCCATCCTCACCCAAAGCACAACTGCTGCCCCTGCTGGCTTTGTGGCTTTCCTAGGGTGGTGCTGTGAGTAGCTGCTGGTCCCCAGCAGGGGATAGTGTTGCATTAAGACACCTGAAGTCTGAGAGCCTTCAAGGGTATTTCAGAGAAGGGTCTGAATTTACCTTCCTTTATTTTATCCCCCCTCTTTTCTTCCTTAAACATCCATGAAGGATCAGAAGCTGTTTTCATGGAAGCCCCAAAGAAGAGATATTGTGCTAAATTGGAGTGACCTGCTGGATGTTGCTGGCTTCTCTGTAACAGCAAGCAACCTTGGACAAAACAAAGTGGCCTGAAGCCAAAGGCTCCTTGCAGCAGGCATGGTTTTATGAGCAGTAGCAAACGACTCTTGAGGAGGGCACAGCCTTCCCAGAAAGGAAAATGAGAGACAGAAGTGATGTGACTTGCCCAAAGGCCAGAAGAGGTCTTTCCTTGCTGGGGACTTCCCTCTGCATGGAGAGGCTTGTTCAGGAGTTGTCATAAATTCTCCAGCTGAATCCCCCAGTGCCAGCTCTGGTATCTCCAGGCAGTTGCATACATATCCCGTGGAGTGAGGAGATATGGAGGATCAGAGCAGAGGGGGTAGCAAGAGCATGTGGAACTCCGAGTGCAAGGATATCTCTTCTCCAGGGAGGCCTTCAGCCAGTTTGAGCTGCTCACCAACACCCTGCTGAGCTCCCTTAGCTAACACACTTGGCAGGTGCCTGTGGTGGGACATCACATGCATGAGACACTCAACATAGATAAACCAGTAGCTAGACTCTTCTCCACCCATTGTTCTCACGTGGTCAGTTTTCCAGTCTCTCCTCCCTCTCCACCCCAACACGGAAGTTCTCAGACTGCAGCCTCCTCTCCTTGCCAGATGTCATCCATGTTTCTTAGCTCCATGCAGGAGAAGAAAAGGAAATGGGAGCAACCAGCCTCCAAAATACACACACACACATAGAGGGATTTTAAAATCCTGGGGGAGTGATGCCCCTTTGAAGGGGGAGGAAGGACAGTGGATTTTAACTGAGGAAAAGACACAGGGAAATAAAGTAAAGGCGATGGAGAAGGAAGGCAGGTGACATGTCCGAGAGCCATCTCAGATCCTCCCTCTCTCCCTCAGGTACACCAGATGGGATGCAGGGGAAGCCAGCTGGCTGCCCATCCCGTGGGGGTTAGGGTGGCATGCCTTAGAGCCGTAGCGGCGTGGTGTGGATGATGAGTACAGCCTCTCTCACTAGCCTGACCTGCCCAGTGTGTATCTGCTCAGTAACACTCACAGTACCGGGGATGGGACGGGGGGTTTCTAACAGGTCGTTCAGCTCTGGGACTGGTTTGGAAAATGTCTTTGGGTGGGTATGGGGGGAAAAAAAATCATCCCTGAAGATCCATGTGACTGCCGGGGAGGTGAGGACCAGGGTTTCCAGGGTGCAGGGGAGGGGTGGGAAGAAGCTTGTGGGTTTTGGTCTTTGAGCCTCCACTTTTAAACAGTGCAATTTGCTGAAAAAGAAATGAACTTCAAAAGCCTTTTGGAAAAAAGAAAAGGGGGGGGGGGGGGGGGGGGGGAAAGGGGTTAAAGTCGCCATGCCACCAATTTCACCTTTGTCAGAAGTTTTGGAGCCTAACTTTTTTTTCTTCTGTTGCTATATGAGAAAAAAAAAAACAAAACAGTCATTGACAAAAAAATCTTTATCAGCAAAATGTTTAAATTATGTAATAAACAAACAAAAAAAAAAAAGTAACTGGTGTCATTTCAAAACAGCCCTGAGACCGAGTCAGCACAAGGAGCACAAAAAGGTGCACTGCTGGGAGAACCAGCAAAGGTGGTCAAATGCACCGAAAACAGGGAGCCAGAGAAAATAAACCCATAGGCAAGATTCAGCCAAAAATATTCACTATTTATTGACCTTCTCCCTTTTAAAAAACCCAACTCATGGAAAAATAAAGTCAGGTCCATAATACCTGTCCCTGTTCTGTACAATGGGAGAAGGAAAATGTGCCAGAGGCAAGAGTACATCTCACTTAAATAAAAGCATAGGGCAGACAGATTACTTCTTACATCCTTATCAAGCAAAAGCATAGGCACTGCTTTATCAGAGAACTGGAGCTAACAAGGGGTGAGTGTGTCCTTCAAAGCATCCTCCTTCCTCCAGGACATCTTCTTTCACCACCATGTAGGTCAGAAGGCTTCAGCAGAGTTGACTTCCAGCATTTGCTGGCTCTTTTTTCACCTGAAATGACATCTAAAGGAAGCTGGGAGTGGTGTCATAACGGAGCTGGACCCACAGGAAAGCCACAGGTAGGTGATGGGAGCACTGTGGTCTTCAGCTACTCCAACTTCTGTTCAGATGTATAGTAGGAAACACTGTGGACAATTACTTGAGCCTCTGAGAAACATCCAGCACCACAAGGGAGCAAAGGAGGGAGGAGAAAACGGGCAGCATCAAACCAGAGGCAAAGTTACACTCAAGGTGACATCAATATTTTTAAACAAGCAGATCAGGGTGCTGGCTCTCCAGAAGGATGGGATCAGGCTCTCAGACTTGAGAGCTTGTGGCTGCAAACCCTTAGAGAAAGCTCCAGTTCCTGTGACAAGTGGTTCAGGGTCCTGTGAGCTTGTGCAGAGAGGACACCACCTTGCTTTTCCCAGGTTCTGGGACACCTGGGAAGCTGCCTGGTACCAAATCAACTGGTCTTGGAAGGAGAGGTTGTACTTGAGTATGTTAGGGGATGGTAAGGAGACCTGTGCTCACTCAGGAGGAACTCTGACAAGAAAGCCACCCCTCAGGGGCTTTGGGACTTAAAAAGCAATGTGGAGGAATGAAAGGGGGTTTTCTCCTCCTGGCTGAAGGGAGCATGGGAAGCAGAAAAGACTTTCCACTTGAGGAGCCCAAACAGTTCTTTCCTCTGCTAATCTGCAAGTGTGGGATCCCCCTTTCTTCCTCCATCCAGAACATCACCCTGAGCTCAAAAACTGCTGATGTCTTTATTTTTTTTTTTTTTTTCACTTTGGCAAAACAGCAACTGCCTCACTGTGAAGCACCATGGAAAATCTGCAACTTTATGAAAAGGGTCAGTAGCAGCATTTGACGCTGACTCTCCAAGCCACACCAAAGGCCATGCCAGAACGACCACCAAGAAGATGAGGACCAGGCAGGCTGGGAGTAGAAAGCCACAAGAAGCATCACTGGTGTCACAGATTAAAACTCGTCTCCCCCAGCTGTCACTTCATACTGCTTGTTCCTTGCCTCCTGAGCCACCAAAGGTGAGGAAGACCTTGTGGAGAATGAGGACATGGTGGTGGTGGCAGTGTCAAAAGTAAGGACAGATACTCCAGTCCTTCTGTGTGTGCCAGACCAGGAGAGGGGATCCACAGAGGAGGGAGAACCTCTCTGCCATGAATTTTAGGCTCTGAAGCATGCAAACTCCCAAGGCTGACATCAAACATCCCCCCATCTGCACCTCAGAAATGTTGTAGGAACAGGTTGTTGTGCAGCCAGGAGCACCCTCACACAACCAGGCATCTCCTTCCTCCTGTGACCAAGGGACGGACCACTTTGGAAAATCAGGGACTCTCCAGGGCCAGCATGAGGATGTGAACTTCAGCTGTCACACTGCCCTTGAGAGTAAGAGTGAGTTCAACACAGACAAATGTAGGTGGTCCTGCCGGGTTCGGGGAGGGCAGCTGGGCCAGGCTCTCCTGCCTCCACAGCCTGGCAGGCACCGCAGCCTTTCCAGAGCTCACTCATGGCAACTCGATGGCTTTTGTGTTGTAACAGCCTGCAGGAAGACTCTTCTCGATATCCTCCAGGTTCTTAATATCTGCCAGGATCTCATCGATGCCGCTCTCCAGCGTCCGCACCCGAGCCTTCTGCAGCGTGGCTGTCTGCTCCAGCTCCGACATCTCATCCTTCAGCTGGCTGCTTCTAGTTTTGGCTTTCCTGAAATTCATCTCGAGCTGCTTCAGGCCATCCTCATCCACAGCACCAGGCTGGTCTGTTGCACAGGAGGAAGACAAGCGAGAGGGAATGATTCATGGAGGCTGAGGACTAGATCTCTATAGATACTTCATCTCACTGGCCAGCCTGCTTACAGGCACCACCTGAGGCAGCTCCCCAAACAACTCCCAGCACCCCTGCCTAGACCCCAGTGGGGACCTGTCTCCATCCATGTCCTACAACAGCAGCACAAAACCTACTCATCAGCCGCAGCAGCTCTTCCAGGGCACTCAAGGTCTCCTGCACAACCACACCTGCCTGGCCAGCCTTGGCGTGGACCTCCTGAGCTTCCTGAGCCACCTGAAGAAGGCAAGGTGGCAGCTGTAAGGTGAAGTCTAGCCCAAAAGTCAACAGGGAAGGGACAAGGCAAGGGAGATGGTGACCCACCTCCTGTATCACAGCAGCATCTGCCTCAATTTCCAAGAGCTTCCTCTCAAATTCCCCATCCACTTCCTTGGCCTCACGCTGCAGGGCAGCCACTGCCTTCTCCAGGGCGAGGACACCATCAGCCGTCTTGTTGGCTTCCACCCTCAGCCGTGTGATCTCCTAGGGAAGGTAAAAGCACTTTCAGAGGGGCGTGGCTGAAATAAGTTTGGGTGCACTGGGGTGTGGAGCTGGTGGAAATTGGTTCCTTCTATGGGGACACAAAATTATCGCAGTCTACCCCGCATCCTTCATGCTGTACCACCAGTTGCTCCAGAGAGCTGTTTCTGTGACCATGGCTCGACCCTGCACACATCAGCAAACCCCTGGGGAATTACAACGCCCATCTGTCAGTCAAACCCACCAACACCAGTTCTGGTAGCTCACAAGCCTGACAGTGACTCGGACAGTGGAAGTGGAAAAAAAACCCTTGGTCACCAAAAGGTGGCTACAGTGAGATGCCTCAGAGATCCTCAGAGGATGAACATGCCTGCAGAGATCGACACACCCGCTCATCTACAGCCAGCTCTGCGATCTGCAATAGCCACTGGAGACAACGGTCAGAACAGAAGTCAGCATATCGGGTCCAAAAGCCAATGCATTAGATCTACTGTAAATTTGCCAATCACCTCCTCTTCTTCCATGGTTTTCCCTTCCAAATTCCATACTGCCAGCAATGGCACCGGAGCCTGTCCTCACCTGCTGGATCCCCATGGTGATCTCCTTTGCTTTCCCTGCCGCGCTGCTGGCTGCCTTGGCCTCGGAAGCAGCACTGCCCAGGGTCGCTTCAGCTCGGTCTGTCTTCTCCTTGGTACTTGCGACCATGCTGCTTATGATTGGTAGCCTCCTCATGGCATCTTCGGCTTCCCTTCTCTTGTCATCTGCTTGCAGGTTAAACTCTGAAAGAAACGCACATGGAAGTGAAGCCGTGCTACCTTTGTGAGGTCCCACAAGGGTGGGGAAAGGAAAGGTTTCTAGGACGTTACCCCGGAGGCTCTTCAGGATCTGCTCCACCTCATAGAAGGTGGCATTGCCAGCGCTCACGGCTTGCAGGGCTGTGCTCCTGGCGAGGTTGGCTCGGGACAGCAGCTGCGTCAGCGTCTGTGACAGGCCAAAGGGACACAAGTGCAGTTGTTTGATATGGTATGGGAGCATCAGACAGTCCCAGAGCTGTCTGCAAGGAGCTGCACTGTCAGAGAAGACTCATCAAGCTGTTCCCATGTCCCTGCTGCTGCTCCTGAATCAAGGCTACCACAGCCTGACCTGTCAGCAGAGATTTGATCAGGTGCTCCCCAACCAGCTCCAGCTATCCTGAGCCAGCTTAGCTCTAACCTTTCCAGGAGCAGGTGGAGGAGGTGTGCAGGTGAGAACCTGCACAGCAGCTCCATGCACACAGTGAGGTCTCCAAACAGCTCTAGAAGACCAACCCCAAGTGGCTGCATTTTGGAAGAAGGGGAAAGTGGGCAGCAGCCACATCCCCTTTGGCAAACAGCCTAGGACAGCACGCAGTAGCCACGGGCACCCCAAGGCACCAGCTCACGCTGAAGACTCAAGCTGTGTACCCAGCCAACCTCTTACCAGTCTCTCGCCCTCTCCCCTCCGCAGCAGCTGCTTGATTTCTTCCTCCCAGCGCCCTGTGCGGCTCTGCAGCTGCCTGTACTGTGCCATGTAGGTGTCCACCAGGCTGAGGAGAGCGCTGGCATCCTGCTTCAGCCGGGTTGCCTCCCCCTGAAACACAGAGCTGAGATGACTGCCTGGGGTTCCCAGCAGCTCCCTGGTGCTCACCAGGAACCACAGCAAGCAGTGATGAATGCTTGTCCCATCTTGCTCTTTGAGCCATGGCCAGCTATGAGAGCAAAAACAGTGGGAAGATGCATGCCCAAAGGCTCTCCAGTGGGGTCAGAGCCTAGGAAGGGCTGAGCTGCTGGCAAGGGAGGAGTGAGTAAGGGAGAGCATAAGCTGATCTCCTGGACTCACAGGCACAAAGCCCTCACCTCAAAGGATCCAATATCAGTCTTCATCAGGTGGGACAGGGAGCTGAGGAGCACCAGGCTGCTTTGATAAGCCTTGTCTGCCTTGGAGGCCATCCCATCAGCATCAGCTGTCAGGCCTCCAGCCAGCGACTTCAGCTCCTCGTACCTGAAGGGATATGCAGTTGAAGAACACGGTACCAGCCAAGCTGTCAGCTTCTCACCAGCATTAATGCTGCCTCCAAAAGTGACTTGTTCATGCTCTCCAAGGTCCCACACAGCTTTATCACACAAGGAAAGCTCACTGAAAACATGCCCCACATCCATCCCCTCTGTCAAGTGGGTGCCTGCTGGCTCCTTGCTGCAGAAAAGAGAGGTGTTTCACACCAGCTGAATCCCCACAGGCTCCACAGTGGCTCTGCTCATCCCTGTTCTGCCACTGGATGTTTCCTCCTGCACATCCCTGTTCAACTCCTTAACTTCCTTCAGGGCTGTTGCTCACACCCCATCAATGTGGTGGGCTCTGAAGAAGCACCAGCCCAACCAAAAGAGCCACCCAACAACATGGAATTAAATTTACCCTTGGGTTAAACCCAGCCCAGATTCGCAAACACACCTGGAAGCCTGTTCATGGGAACAGCATTAAACCCCTTCCCCCAGCTCCAGGCAGGCCCCAGGAGCGTGTGGTCTTTGAGGTGGGAAGCAGATGCTCCACGGGGCTGTCAACCCTCCCTCTCCACTGCTCAGACATTCCAGGTGCCAAAGTCCAGAGCAGTCCCTGCCCGCTCTGCCTCGAGCAGCAGGGTTCTGCCGCTCAGCTGGGGAGGCAGGGAGGGGGAC